GAGAGAGAGAGAGAGAGAATGAACCAGAGTTCTACCCTTATGCCCTCAATTAACCTGAATTATTATCTCTGAGACTCAGTCTCCCAATGCAACCAAGCTACTGGCTATAGTTTTAATATGATGAATTTGGGGGCACACAAACCTTTAGTTCATACTAGGACAGATGAGAGAGAAGTCAGAGCTGGAACTGACATACAAGCAAGCTCATCTGTAGAGTAGTGGGACATGCAGCACTGAAACTCGGGTAGGATCAACAGGATGAAGCTGTCCATGCTGTCATGGTAGCCAGTACTTCTGGTCAGAGACTGCAGGACAGGTAACCTCTACAGCCAGTGACTGATGGCACATTCCTTTGGCAGCCCCTGGACACATCTGCCCTAGCCACATAGTCTGCTTCTGTGTTGTGAGTTCCCAAGAGTCAGGAGAAGGGCTGTGTTTGCTTCCCTTCTCTCTTGTGTTCTCCTCTATGTATTCCTCAGATTACTTTGTGAACATCTCCCACATGATGTCTGCTCTTCTGTTGCACTGTGTGTGTGTGTGTGTGTGTGTGTGTGTGTGTGTGTGTATGTATGTGTGTGTCTGTCTATCTGTATGTATGTGTGTGAGTGAGTGTGTGTATGTGTGTGTGTTGTTTATCTGCAGATAATGCCTACCCCTTAGAGTAATGTCAAGAATAAATGGGCTGTTCTGAGTGTAGCTATTTGGTTGAGGGTAGATATGTCACAAACAGTTGTTGCATGAGGGAGGGAGGGAGTAAATGAATCTTCACTGGAGAAAGTATACATTTTTATGAATTAATTGACCTCTGAGTGTGGCGGTTTAAATGAGAATGCCCCCCCATAGTCCTGTGGATTTGAATTCTTGGTCCCTAGTTGGTGGAACTGTAGGGTTTAGGAGGAATATTGTTGTTGGAGGAGGAGGTGTGTCACAGGGGTTGAGCTTGCCAGGTTCAAAAGCCCACACCACTCCTGGTTAGCTCTCTCTCTTGTGCTTATGCATAAGAATGTAGCAGTCTTGCCTTACAGAAGCTTCTCAGTTTGAGAAGGTCCCATTTATTAAACTCGGTGTCTGTGCTTCTGCTGTAATGTTCAGGAAGTGGTCTCCTGTACCAATTCTTCAAGGGTACCTGCCACTTTCTCTTGTAAGAGGTTCAGTGTGGCTAGATTTATCCATTTAGACTTACGTTTTGTGCATGGTGATAGACATGACTCTATCTGCAGTCTTCTACACACCAGTATCGAGTTATGCCAGCACCATTTGTTGAAGATGCTTCCTTTTTCCATTGCATAATTTTAGTTGTTTTGTTAAAAATCAGGTGTTCATAGGTGTATGGATTAATATCAAGATTTTTGATTCGATTCCACTGGTCTATCTGTCTATTTTTGTGCCAATACCAAGCTGTTTTCAGGACTATCGCTCTATAGTAGAGCTTGAAGTCAGGGATGGTGATGGCTCCAAAAGTTCCCTTATTGTATAGAGTTGTTTTGGCAACTAACAATCTGAGCAATAGTGGACAAGCTACCTTAAATGCCCTTTCCTGATAATGAGATTGATCACTACCTTATACGCCATCCTAGGGCCTTCATTCAGTAGATTATGAAAGCAGAAGCAGACACCCACAGCTAAACATTGAGCAGAACTCCTGCAATCCAGTTGCAGAGAGGGAGAAGTGATGAGCAAAGGGGTCAAGCTCAGGTTGCAGAAACCCACAGAGACAGTTGACCTGAACAAGGGGGAGCTCATGAACTCCAGACTGATAACTGAGAAACCAGCATAGGACCAACCCCAGACCCCCTGAACATGGATCTCAGTTAGGGGGCCTGGGTAGTCTAGGGGACCTCTGACAGTAGAACCAGGATGTATCCCTGGTGCATGAAAGGACTTTGGGAGCACATTCCTTATGGAGGGATACTCCCTTAGCCTAGAGGCAGGAGGGAGGGCTTAGTCCCTACTCCAAATGACTTGGCAGATTTTGATGACCCCTCCTGGAAGGCATCACCCTCCCTGGAGAGTGGATGGGGAATGGGACAGGGGAGGGGGGACAGTGCATGGAAGGATGGCAGGGAGATGGAACTGGGATTGATATGTAAAATAAGAAAAAAATGTAAAAATTAAAAAAAAAAAAAAAAGAATGTGGCTCTCTCTCAGCTGCCTGCCTCCCTGCTGCCATGTTCCCTGCAATGAAGGGCTTTGGCTCACCCTCTGAAACTGCAAGCAAGTCCCCAATAAACTCTTTCTTTCATATGTTACCTTGGTCATGGTATCTCTTCACAACGATAGAAGACAACAGAAGACTGAACCTGTGTCACCAGCAGCTGCTAAAGCAGTCCATAGTGAAAGCAGGGTAGGAAAAAAAAAAAAAACAATGAATGGAAGGTTGTAAGGTGGAATAGAAGCCTCGAGTGCCATGAACATGCCAAAGCAGGCACCTGCTGGGGGCTGGGAGCAGCTCCTGGTGGAGATGAGATGTGGAAGAGCTCAAAGATGGGCAGTAGATTACCAGATAGAGAAAGGCATGAGGAATATTCTAGGCAGATGCTATGCTAAGGCCCTGTGGCAGGGCCATAGAGGGCACTTTGGAGAAACAGTGAGGGCTTGTGTGGCTAGATCCCCCAAAGGGTGACCAATAGAGAGGAAGAATTGGTGGAAGAAGCCAGGTTACAAAAGGCTCAGCATGTGGAACTTGAAATTGGTGACTTCATGTTACTCTCATGGCTCAGAGGCAACCAAACACAACACCTGTAGAGGAACTTAGCCATGCCAGGCCTGTGAAATGGAGGGATTCCTCTGTAGTCTACTTCTTCAGAGGATTGTAGGCAGGAAATGAGAGAGCTGCATATGGGCCTTTGGTAACCTCTCAAATACTGCCCTGCTTATGGGCATTCAGATCATGTGACTAACAGAGCCATGAGGAGCAGTTTGGTAGGCTTCCATGTGGCACCTTGAGAAACTGGGGCAGTACCATGTCTTCCCCAGCAGAGAACCCTCCTGTGTTCCTTGAATCACACTAGACCTTCTGGGAACTCCAACTTCGGTCCTTCCTCTCCTTTTCCAGAGGACAGGGAAGAGGCAGAGACCAGCTCTTATGTCCACCATCTTCCAGCATTCCAGGGGAAAAGCTGAAATATCCGTGGAGAGCTGAGGCTTTGAGTCGGGTGGAAGCCAGAGCAGGCTTTTCAGTCTTGAGTCCTCGTGCCCTAGAGAATACTAGACAACACTGGATAAGGAATTCTAACCCCAAGCTCTGGCTGGACAACTTCAGGCAAGTTCCTCCTTAGGAACAAGCCTCAATTTTTCTCCATGGTGATGGCAGGCCTGACCTAACTAGCCTACAGAGCTTTTGTGGATGTCACTGTCACATGATTCCAAGGCAAGGAGCTATGCAAATGAAAGAGTTCTGAGTCCACCTTCTCTGCTGCCCCCAAATAGGGCACACGTTGGAATTTGAGCAGGAATTAAGTGCTGTGAAGATGAAACATTATATTTTAAGTTCCTGGGCCAAATTGCAGGCCCTATCTGGCCCTGAAGGGCAGCTGATAGGTTGGGTGAAGAGAGGTAACTCCTTATTGATCATATATGCCTGGAGGCAGACTGCATTCCTGTATGTACAAATTCATGGGCATGTGAGAGCTGAGGGCTTTTTGCACTGTGTGCACATAAGAGGGTCTTGGCTGGAGTCTTACAGATGCACCCCCATGGGTGTATTATAGTTTTGGAGTCTGTCTGTGTGCAGCATAGCAATGTCTGTGTAGGCTTGAGGGACCCGTGTCCATATGCTCATGGTAGTATATATGTGTATGTGTTATGAAGCCATATGTTGAGGGACGCTGTGAGCTCCAAACAAAGCATGTGTCTGTGTGATGGAGAGCAAATGACTGGACAGGGATCTGGGAGCAGCCTGGGTTGGGGATTCTCAGTGCTGCACATGAAATTCTCAGTGGAAGTCCAGACAGGACTGACAGGCAGCTGGGCTAGGGAAGAGGAAATTCTTGAGCTTTCTAGGGAGACACCTGCCATGAGTTGCCACCAGGAGGTGAGGCCACAGGTCCCTAATCATTGCCTTTTCGTTGGAAATGTGCAGGGGGGCTTGAGGATCCCTGTCACTCGAAGGGGGAAGTCATGGAAGGGAGACTGCTTTCTAAATTCAAGGTCTATCCCCTGAGGCATTAACTCAAGCGCCACCCTGCTGTTGTAACTGCAGGTGAGAGAGGAAGAGAAGGTGCAGAAGAGGGGGAGGGGCAGCAAGGGCCTAGCGGGACCTGCAGCTACTTTCCCCTCCCCACTTCCTGCCACTAGAAATGAGTCCCGGCCTTGGGGGACCCTGCAGGTCCCCAGTACTTCCTAGAGAGTTTAGGGGAGCCCTTCTTCCTGGGCGGGGTAGACTTTCTCTACCCCAGGAAGGCAAGCAGTGGTTAAATGTGATTTTCTCTGAAGTCAAGTGAAATCGCAACGCCCCCCCCCCGCGCCCGCCACACACACACACACACACACACACACACACACACACACACACACACACACCTCACACTCACACACATTCACCTTCATCTTGGGGGTCACTTGCTGACCCGTTCCCAAGCTGCACCCACCAGCCAGGTCCCCGACCTGGCCTGTCTGCCCAGTGGGCATTCCCAGTGTCCCGCATAGCCAGGAACAGTGTGGTGCAGGCAGCAGGGCCGGGTCCCCACCCCGCCCCTCTGCAGGTCCCCAAGGCTGCCTCCACCACCCCACTCGCGCAGTCCGGCTCTTCTCCGCGCCAGTCCCAGGCGCCGTTCATTCATGATTGGTACTCGGCCCCCTGAGACCCAGCCCGAGCGCGGGGCGGAGCGGCCGGGCGGCAGCAGGGGCGGGCGGAGCGCTGCTCCCGCACCGCACGCGGCGCGGGCTCGGCAGCCTCGGCCGGGCGGGCGCGCCGGCCCCGTGTCCAGCACCAAGCAGGCTTCGGGACTCAGGGCTAGGGGCTCAGCCCTTGGCGAGGCTAGAAGTCCGGCTGGGTGCCCGCACTGGGGGGTGCCTGCAAAGGCTCTCGCGAGCTGCTGGCCCTGGGAGTCAGTGCATGTGCCTGGCTGAAGACAGCAGCAGCCAGAAGCTCCCGGCACCCCGGCCCCACGCTCTCTGAATACCAAGCTGCAGGCTAGCTGCCCCGGGCTTTTTGCCTTCTTGCTTTTCCTCTCCTCCAATTCAGAGTGGGCAATCCACACCGATTTCTTTTCAGGGGAGGGGAGAGGCAGGGCCTGGGGTCCCAAGTCGCACACAAGTCTTCGCTGCCATGGGGGCCGTCATGGGCACCTTCTCATCTCTGCAGACCAAACAAAGGCGACCCTCTAAAGGTAAGCACTTTGTCCTCTGTTTGCTCCCCTGAAAAGGTTTGGGAGTACTGGGTGTTGTGTTGAGATGCAACGTTCTGTCTCCCTTAGTTCCAAATCCCCTAGCCATAAAGGTTCTGGATAGCCTCTTTAGCCAAGGGAGTAAGAACCTCGTGGGAAGGCTGGTGTGAACATCCAGGGGCAGCAGTCAGGGAGAAAGCTGGCCCTCTCCAGGGGCGAATAGACCCTTCTCTCCTGGGAAATATGTGGGAGCAGAAGGAGACAGATTCACAGGTGGAGAAAGCTGCGTTCTCTGGGCTGGGAAGAAATGTTGGGAGGCTCTTCCCGCTCCCATGAGGGCTTGCGTTGGTGCAACCTCGAGCATCTAGCAAGAGTGCTTACACCCATGCAGGTTTCCTTGGGAATGGCCATGCCTTGCCAGGTTTTGACCTGGCAGCCTAACCATGAAGGAGAGTGATTTGCCTGTCCACCCTTAAAACCTCTGCAAGCCAAAAGGAATCAGCTACGTCCAGGTGGTGAACCCCCCCCCCCAGGCTCAGGTCCTGGGACACAGGGAGTCTACTGGAAAGAACACAACAGTATTAAGGTGTGTCTGCTGCTAAGATCTGAGGACTTCAGGGGAATGGAGAGAGCTGTGAAGAGGTGGCTGGGCAGGGGCGGGGCTGGGGGCGGGGCGGGCGGGGCGGGGCTAAAGCTCACATATCCTGGGAATCCCAGTCTGTAGCTGTTCCACAGTTGCCCTTCTCCAGCTGTGGCATGCCCATCACCAGTGGGGCAGTTGTCAGATAACCACGTGGAGTTGGGTGACTTTGTTGCACCAAGGTTCACCGTGCAGTCCTCTTTTCCAAGAGACAGAAATTTGCTTATAGGGATTTTAAAAAAGACTGGAAACAATCAAGAAAAAGATAACGATGGGCTTGGTTTGCTTAATGCTCAAGTGCCATTGCAGATGACAGATGGATTCTAAATAGTTTCACACTCAAATGTTCAAGTTCTGAGATTTAACAAATTCTGACTCCAGGTGAAGACACAATACCCACCTTGTGCTAGCTAGTGATCAGAGCTGTGTTTGGGTGATAGTGGATCCCGGTACCCAATGAGCCTCCTCATAGGACCTGTTCCATCTCATCTTGGTTGGGAGCATTCATAGAGATACCAAGGAAGAGAGGGCCAGGCTTCTGGTCCAGTCCTGAGAAACAAGCTAAATGAACACCATGGAGAAACATCTGCAGGTGCAGGTCTCAGGCGATGAGCCCAAGCTGTCATGATAGGCCAGAATCGGAAGGGGCTTCTGTTTATTCACTGGGTTCTTTGCCCTGATGCCATTCAGCAAACCAGAGAAAGGCAGATCTGCAGACCTTGGCCCAGGGTCTCGGTGCTCTGAGCTCTGCCTCTCCTGTGTCTCAAGGTGCTGCTTCGCTGGGACGGTATTCAACACCAAATCCAAGTCTCCTCTCCCATCATGAAGGGGATGATGGGAGAGGACATGAGGTCCCACAGACCATGGAGGGGACTGCTAGGCACAATTAACTTAGGTTTGTTGTTGTTGTTTTGTTTTTAATATCTACAATGTCTGTATTTCTTTGGGAGGGAAGCAGGCATCACATTAGAGATCTGTGGCTCTGTAATCCAGTGGAGTGTAGGTGGCAATCTCAGCCCTGTCACTTCAGTCTTGAACCTTGGGCAGATCTCACTTCCTATGAATCTCAATTTGCATATACACCAAATGGATAAGAATGATACCTTCCATGAGAAGCTGGAGAAGGTGGAGGGAGAGAGTGTCGCATCTCATATACTGTGCTTTCTGAAGCCACTAGAAGAGACTGTAGTGAGAGCAAAGGGATGGATGAGTGATGGCCGTGGAGATGCATAGAGCTGTAGGGTGCAGGTGTTACCATCAACCGTTCCAGCCTCTTGGTCCCAAATCCAGGTCACCTGGGGGCAGTTCCTGCAGGATTCCAGAGGCCACAGCACTTCTTCTCTCTTAGGAAATTAAGAAAGAGGAGAGTGTACAGCATTCACTGTCTGTGCCACAATGGAGTGACTGGCCATGTTTCGTCTGAACATTCTCATTTGACCTTTGTAGGAGTGTCTGTGGCTCCTAGAAGATCCAGGCTCACTGAGTGGATTCCCTAAGTTAGCTCTTCTATTCAGAGCAGTAGACATCAGCTTGAGCTGTCCACAAGTGCAACTGTGTACCTTTTTTCCAGGCCTTTGCCCCAGAAGAGAGTCCAGCCTCACTGTCTTGCCCAGCAGAATGAAAATCTGTAAGCCTCCCTTCCATTGCAGGGGGCTTAAGAATATGGACAAGGCTCCACTGGAAGGCATTCTCCTGGACATTTTTTTTTTTCAGGTTCTATTTGGTTCTCAGATTCTAAAGGTTTTATTGTGGGTGCTGTCATTGGAGCCACTGCTCTGATCTCTGGGATGTCAGACTCAGGTCTAATTAGATGCAGTCAGAAGAGGATGGTGGGGATTTTTAACAGAAGAATCTGTCTCCCTGCTGGGTTCAAACCCAGGCTCCACCACTCACTAGCTGCATGACTAAGCCTTGTTTTCTTCCACTGTGAATCAGGGACAGTAATGGTTATCATCTTAAAATAGCTGTTGTGTTGCTTGTGTTCTGTGGATGATGGAAGGCAAGTGCTTCCCACAGACCCTGCGATCAGTGGTCACCAACTTTTAGGTCCTGTTCAGTGTATGGCTGCACTACTTAGGCCATCAGGATGTCCTGTAAACAGCCTTTCAAGCCCTTTTAATCCCTGTATAGGTAAGCAGGACCAGAAGCCAGGCACTGGGATGCTGAGCCTCTGCTACAGCCCACTAACCTCTGCACTGTGGCTGATCATGGAAACATCACAGTTGACTCAGCCACAGCTCCAAGTGCTCAAAGAGAACTTGGAAACACATGCACAACTTTAAAACAGGGTGACAATCTAGTGTGATTACTGCTGAGAAAAAAAAAAATTCCACCTAGCCCAACCTCATGCTCAGGAAGCACTCCCCGAAGGCAGCAGAAATCTAAAGTAATTTAAGAGCTTTGCCACTGAACAAAAGCATAGTGTTCACTTTCTGTCATCTGTTTGGGATCTCAGTGTGTCTTTAATTGAAAATGGGGAAAACTTTGTCTGGGGGTTTCAGGCCCTGTCCCCAGTCCTAGGTAGAGTTTCTTTTGCCAGCAATTTCAAAAGTGTTTTTTCCTCCCCAAAGACTCTGCTCTTAGGTTTGAATGTCTGAGCAAGGCTGGATACAGTGAGGAGCTAAGCAGAGGAGCATGCAAGTGCATCTGCTGGCTCTGTGGGCATCAGGGGACTGCATGAAACACTGGATCAGCCCTATCCAGTAGAGACATGCTGTTCGCAGATAGCCCGGTGATGCTTAGGTGGCTGGGTTCCAACTTCTCCATGATTAAGTACAACATTCAGAACTTGAGACTCTCAGTTTTAGACCTCCATGGTACCCACTAAGTCATCTAGAAAAATCCATGGCTATCAGATAATTTTTATCAGGTCACATGGTAAGAGAGAGTCAAATAGGAGAGTGGTCTTGTGGGTCCTAAATTGGAGAACCCTTTGGAGAATTGTAGAAGCATAGAATTCCTGATGCGCCTGGCCTTGAAGTTGATGGATGGGGTGGTGTGTTAATCCTAGAGAGCCCTGAGAGGCAGCAATGGACAGAAAGTGTGGGCTCAAATCACACCAGCCTGGACTCAGGGATCATTGCAAATCACTCTGCCTTAGAAATATCCTTTTCTTTATCTCTGAAAGGGGAGTACCAAGCAATAGACATGTGTGTGCCCTGAGCTTTACTTACCTCAGCAGCTCTGTCCATCATTTAAACTCTGTAAGACTCTTACCCCCAAACCCTACCTCACTTACTAATTCAAATTCCACCCAAATTCCAATAACTCACTCAGCTGTTTCTATATTCAAGAAGCCTTCTCTAAGCCTCAGAGAGAAGTAACTTCTTCCATCTGAATTCCTAACATTTTAAACCTTAGCCATGCTTGGAATCAGTCAATGAAGGTGTTAATCCTCTCACCCATCATAGGTTTCTTGAGGGCCAGCAATATGTCTGAGTTATTCTTCACAGTCCCTGGCTTGGTTCTTTGCACATAGTAGGTTCTTAGTAAGTATTTTCCAATGGAAGCGACAACAATAAGATGGTTTGTCTCTCATTGTTTCTAAGAATTGCAGACCCCACAGGAAAAGTTATCTTACCACTGGAGTTTCAGTCAGCAGCCCCTCCGCCTGAATGAATGCTGTGATTTTGGTCTGTTGGCTTTGATTAGCTTTGTCTGTGAAGTGTACTGGATCTGTTTACCATTCCATAAGGAAGCACTGAGAACAGTTTCTACTCTGCAATTCCTAGATTCACAGGAGGACTGGGTAAAGGGGCTCACTGCCTAAATTCAGAGGTGTTTTCAGTCTGGTCCCAGAAACATGACAAAGGCGAAGACCCCTTTGTCTACCTGGAAGGTCTTTGCCCAGTAAGGTAGTTTGTAAATGTATTCCTTAGCAGATGAGTGAGTGATGGATGGTTGCACAAATAAGAAAACCAATAAACAAGAAAAATGAATGAAGGAGCAAGTAAATAATCAAATGAGTGGCAAAGGAAGACTGAATAAGTGAGTCTGTGATTAAATGGCTACATCCATAAATGAATGAGTGGATACATGAGTGGATGATGAAGTCCTGGGAAAACTGTAGCAGCATATTGTCTCTTTATGATGAACAGTAATGATTATGCTTCATAGTTCCTGTACCTAAGCATTTGTCTCAGTTCATGGCTGCTGCTAGCAACACAGGACCACAGACTTGAGTATCTTAAAGACAAGGAGCTTGTTTCGGTCTATAGCTCCAGAGATCAGAGGTGAAAATAGCTCATTGGTGACTGGTCGCCTTCTTGCTGACAGAGTCCTGAAACACACAGGGTGTCCGTGGGTGAGAGGTACCTTTGTGGTTTCTTCTGTTCCTTTAAAGCCTCCAGCACTCTGATGGGGT